GGCATGGGGGTCCAGGCTCTTCTATTTTCACCCTGGGTGCCACTGTTTCTTCTAATGGGTACAAAAAATGGAGGCCCAATGCTGGAGGAGGTACTTCCTGTGTGGTAGCCATCTTTTACTGCCACAAGAAAGGAAGTTCTTATCCTTCAAGCTTCCTGCAGATAAAAGTAGAACCACTCAGCCAGAGGAGACTGGGCCAAGTGAAAGAGAGCTTCAATGCAACACGTAGTCCCAGGGAGCCAGATAAGTATAAGACACCCAACAGGAAAGGATGGGCTATCTTTAAAGGTGTCCTATTGCCAGTGATGTGATGATTAAGTAAAAGGGCACCTCCCTGATACAGAAAGGAAAAACATCATTAAGAATTATGCTCAGAAGAAGCAGGCCCATTCTTAAATATCACTTTTGTAACCATTATTTGCCTACTATTAATACTGATTTCACACCTAGGCAGGGGCAGTTAGGTGCTAATACACTATATGAGGGTCAAATGATCACCTATGGTTATTTTCCCTGGCAGCCTCAATCAAAGGCCTGGATAGTAATACAAAATGGTCTAGTTTTCTACAAAATTGTAACCTCCAGATGTTCTGGTTTACAACTCAAATGGGCGGTGATGGGTGGGCATTATGGGAGTTATGGTCTATAAAGGCATCAAGTAGGAAACCCTGAATTAGAATATATCTGCTGCACAGAAGGGAATGTAAGAATGCCCATTCTGTCTTCAAAAATCCATTGTTTCTGGAATTTAGCTTACAATAATATCCAATTAGATATCAGGAAATCATCAGCAGAGAAGGAAGCAATGCGTTTCCCCATATGTTTTCAGGAGCATAAACCGTATTTTAAGATAAGATTCACCTTTTTCCCTCAAAAAAGAGGCTGAAAATCTGGGTGTGTCTTATACACTGAATACAGCATTTTTTTGCCTCCTGAAACGCCTTCACCAAAATGGCCATGCATAGCTTGTAGGAGGAAACAGGAAGGAGCCTGGCTTAGCTGAGAACTGAAAGTGAAACTGCTTGTGTTTTGCTTGTACTTACTGCTACCTTGGAAAACCTGCTTTTGGTAATGTATTGTATATTATTATTATTTTGAATCCTGCTGAATCAGTTACTGTGCTTTCTGAATGTGATTGCTGCTGCAAAATCTGACCAGCCAGGTCAGCTTCAGCACTTATTGCAGCCTGAATACCCCCAATCAGCTGTTCCAGGCTGCAGGGATTGCCACAGACCACAGCTGCCTCCATGCCTCGCGTTTTTGGCCTCTGGTGGGGGTGGATGGGGCTACATTTGGTGTATAAGACGCACTCCGCAAGTATTGCATTGGCACACGTAACACTTTACCAATGTTCATTGGGGACGTGTGCATGTTCATACAAAATTTCATCAAAATCCGTGATGGTCGAGCAGGGCACTTTTCTGAAATCAGACTACTTGACATGGAATGACCCAGTTGTAGTCTGATATGTCATCTGAATCTGTAGTCTCCAGTAACTACCATTGTTTCCACCTGCAATAGAAACAGGCTGATGGAATAACTGCAAGGCAGAGTTGTTCTGACAGCAGCATTTTTACTCCTCTGGCTTCTTTTCAATGTCTGTGAACATGCAGGAAATTAATTGGGCTCAGGAGGGAGGTGGGTGAAGATGCAGCCATCCCCCACTCTGTGCCTACAATTCCAAAGCCATTAGACATTTTTATTCTATTTTTTAAACTCAAGGAAAATGCATAAGTGGCTTCTATATCTGGTGTGAGACTGTTTGCTGCAGGGGTGGTTAATTTGATTACCTCTGCATCGATCAGGATCTTAGTTCCCCAATCATGCTTCAGGGTGACTTAAACTCAGCAGATCATATAGGCATACAGTAGTCTTATCCAGTATACTGTAAGGGAGACTCTAGAAAGGAGACTTTTATTTCATACCTTGCTTGTATGCATTTAGATCAAGCAAAATATGAACAACTTTGCTACCTTTTCTCAGCACTTAATTATATATTGATTTAAACTAGCTTTTCCCAATCTGATGTCTCTTCGGGTGTTAAACAATTCCTAGAATCCCAAGCCAACAGGGCCATTGCTGAAAGGATTTATTTAAGCATATGGTTTTCATTGTTCCGCCTTGTGCCTGTGATTTATCTAAATTGGCCACGCAATAAAGAAATTGGCAAATTCTTTAGTTAATCCCACACTAAGTGCCAAACCTTTCTCTGGGCAACTCAAACTGTACATGGAGCATCTTGGATATCCCATCTTTAGGCCCAAATCCCATAATATAGTAAATGGGCGTTGGTACTTACCTGGTACGCCCTTTCTCAGGATGGTGGAGAGAGCAGCCATGCATGGGTTAACTCTGTCAGTATCCAATAGCACTGAGTCTACAAATCGTGACATCATAGCTCTTGAGGTAGCTCCTGCTTTTGACGAAGTTGAGTAGTAGACTGCTGTGCTGTATGTGATATTGTATGCTCATCTCTCCTATCAACTACACATGGAATTAGGTCTGCACGAATCATTAGGGTGGGGATGGCTGCTGTCTCCCTCGTCCTGAGAAAAGGCATATCAGGTAAGCACCAACACCCATTCTCCAAAGTTGGTGGAGACAGCAGCCATGCATGGGACATAGCAAAGCTTGGCCTGTCCATGGGTGGGACTGTGCATAGACCTAGACGTCCTGTGTGGGAAGGACTTGTTGTAGGACCTGTCTTCCAAAGGCCGCTTCCGCTGATGCGTACTTGTCGAGCTTGTAGTGGTGGATGAATGGAGATGGTGTAGTCCATGTGGTCGTCCTGGAGAACTCCTCAACCCAGGCCTGCATTGCCCAAGCTGCTGAGGTGGCTGCACTGCGTGTTGAGCGTGCTTTGACGTTTCATGGTGGTGCCAAGTGATGAGCCTGGTATGCTTTGGCAATGGAGGATCTGATCCAGCGACCTATGATCGAAGACGAGGCTTTCAGTCCTTTATTGGTCGTGTGAAAAGAAACAAAAAGGGCCTCAGATCGTCTG